GTGGCCCAGTTTCCCCCTCAGAATTCTTGAAATCAACTTGGAATTTTCTCTAAGGGTTGCCTCCAGGTCATCTAAGGCAATTCCGCCATTTTCATCAACAGCCGCCGTCACAGCCGCCACTTTCGAGCTGGAAAAAAGTGGCCGCCACTTTGGCGGCTGTGACAACGGCTGTCTATGAAAATGGCGGAATTGTCTTAGATGACCTGGAGGCAACCCTTAGAGAAAATGCCAAGTTGATTTCAAGAATTCTGAGGGGGAAACTGGGCCACAAAAAAAAAAGCTGCAGGAAGGGTGCCTCATCTGTTGAGTGTATAGCAAAACTCTGCCAGGGTAAATTTTGAAAAAAATTGAAAAAAATGGTCAAACTGGGCTGATTTTTTTTGTGTGCCAAAGAATATGGTTGCCCTAAAGAATAATTTTTGTCCAGCTCGATTAGACGCCATCTTCATTTTCATTCCGAGAACTTTTGTTAGAACCCTCGTATATAAAGTATTTTACAACCACCGAAATCGAAAGAAATACAGTGAGACCCCGAGATGCGGACGTTATTGATGCTTAGACCTTGTCCCTAATACATAATGTCTGCATGTTGGATCACGTTTTCCCATAGACTACACTGGGAAATTATTCAATTGGCTCTCCAGTTCATCAAAAATTATGAATAAATTCCCAAAAATGGAATAAAATGTGTCTCTCAACTTGAACATGCAGAATATAACTATGCAGAAGAATCTGATCTTTTGGCACCTTAAAGACTCCAAAAAGCAAACTAAACTGTGCGCAGATGATGAAGAATACTCCAAAAATAAGAAGCACAAAATTAACCTGTTTTTGATTAAACATTTGAGTAAATTTATAATGAAATTAATGTTTTCCTTTTTTGAATATAAACAGCTCATTGTTCTCAATAGATATCCAAATTTTAAAAATGTGCTTTTTCTAGAAATTTCGGGAAAGTGCCCGTATGTCAAGACATTATCCGGAGGTCCAAGTTTACCCAAGTCGATCGTCCGTATGTCGGGGTCTCACAATAATGCCGCAATCACGATGAAATGATTTAATTATTCATGTGAGCAATAGATAGCCTTTCCTTTTCAGGGCCTGTGTCATCTTGCTGTTTTTTTTATCTCCTGCCACAAATCATGCAAGTGTTTCGTTGGCAAAATTGCTCGTGCAAATTGGGAAAGTGCGGATGCTGTCTGAGGTTGATGAGAAAATTAGCTGAAGGTTTCCGCGTGTTAATCGTTTAGTTTAATCCGACCGTAAGTCGAAAGATTAAGTACATTACAAGAAAATGGCCGATCAGCAAAAGGCATCAGCCAGGAATTCGTTGAACTACAGTCGACGAGAATGGGAAAATAGAGTTACAGACTCTATGATCAGTTCACTTTCTACAGCAACAGGATTACCCGAGGGAGATATCAATGGCTATCTTTCGAAATTCTCCCAAGTTGCTCGGAGGGGACGAATGAACGAAGAAAATTTTAAGGTAATTGATGAAAAAAAAACAAATTGATTTAAGACCGCTGTCGGAGGTGTTGCGAATTTTAGCTTGGACATCCTGAAATTGATTTCGATTTCAACGGCTTCAATAAAATGCATTCGGCTCACGATCACAAAATAATAAACCTGAAAGCATTATTCGTTTCAGCCGCAGGGAAATTGGTCTTGTTCAATAAAGTGTATTTTATTTACTTCTGTTATGGCGAAATTTCGCAGAAGAATTCGGTGTGAAATTGCATCCTCTCTTACCTGAACATTCCCTTCAGATTACTTCCCCAGAGAATAATGATAGAAATTTTTAACCGAGATTCATGAAAATATTTTTCAACAGGTAACTGAATCGATTTCTCAGGTATTAACGTGATGTATCCACACTATTCATAGTTGTATACAAGAGCCAGTGAACTTGCATGCGTGAATTTGAAAAATGTTCGTCAAATGGACCAAAAGAAAAATGCTCAACGGAATCCTAACTTAAAAAGAGCCATACCTGATGGCATTGCGGAAATCATTATTTACGATTTCCTGTTCATACGAGAAGCTTCGTTTCGCTTTCATGAATCTTAAAAATATATATTTTTTGGGTTTGAAATGCCAGATTTCAGGGGGTTTCAGGCACGAATAATTCAAATTCTCCTGCATTTCTTTTTAAGACGGTTTTCAGCAAACTGCTGCCGGGTGGACTAAAGTCAGCCACATCGACCTTCCGGGCCATCGACACCGATCACGACGGACAGGTTAATTTCCAAGACTTCGTGTACGGCATAAAAATGGCCACAGATACGGACGTGTTGGACAGGATGACTTGGGCCCTGAGACTCCTGGAGGCCAGTGGTGTTTATTCACTGCCGTTTGCCAGTGTGAGTCCCTCATAACCCCCCATCTTCAACATTCAAAAGGAAAACTACTAACACCGAACCTTGACCCCGTGGCGCAGTAACACCACAGCCAACAACTAAACAAACCCCCCGCTGTGGTGTTTATTTTCAATTTACTTACGAAAAACCCCCCTGATGTCGTACTTCTTTTACTACACCAGCCCAGCAGTGATGATTCTGAAAATACCCAGGCTAATTTGTCGACAGGTATTCCATGCATGATTTGCTTGGTGGTAGGTACAGCAATTTTAATTTCGCCTCGAATATGCAAGAGCTGAAAATATTAATCCCCGGGGGAACCATCCTAGTAACTTCCTAGTGCGGCTCAAAAGCCGCGTTTTCTATGCGTTGATGGAAAAATTCCTCTCTTTTTGCCGATGATGTTCGATTCGGCAAGGATTTCTTATCGATGACCTTCACGTTATTGTTTCTGCCCAAGTGAGTTATTTTATTTTTTTCAAACTTGCCTTATGGACATCGCAGAATTTTACGGATGGGTGGATATTGCTCAGATGATTGAAAGAATGCTTGATTATTGGTTGTTTATTTCTTTTAAAGAATGGCACAGGAACTCGCATTGCTCATAAATTTTGACGAGCGAAAAAGCAAGAACTTGAAACGCAGAAAATCTCAATTCTGATGCGAATGAAAGAGAACTTTGATTTAATTCCCATGGGACTTCTGAAGTTGAGCGTCAATTCTGATGCGAATGAAAGAGAACTTTGAATTAATTCCCATGGGATTTCTGAAGTTGAGCGTTAAAAAGGCAGTTTTGAATTTCTTGCATATTCATTTATTTTATTTTATGACGCACGTGAAGGATCTCCGTATGAAATTTTTTTTGGAAACGACGCATTAGGGAGACCTTTCTTGAGTCGTGTTTCATTTGAAATTAACAGATCAGCAGTTCACAACACGCTTGTAGTATAAGAGGAATTTTTCTTTGAAAATTGTAAATATTATGAGGAAAAAATCAAAATAATCCACCGAGTTAAATCCTTACCGTGTGAGCAGCCTCTCGAGAATGCTTAATTCCGTGTTCGTTTTCTCCGTACGGCAGTGTTGAAGGTTAAAATGAAATAGAAATTACTCATCCCATGTATCCTCAACACAGCCGTTCGAACCTCTTTGATGAAATATGGGCTTCAATTGTCCGACTAATGCGTTTTTCTTTTCATTTTAGTTATGCAATAGAATAATAGATGATGTGGCGCGCGTGTGTATGCGAGAGGAATTTTGAAAGCTTATTGTTTTGGACAGACGCAGAGAATCGTTGTCAGGTAATTGTGCCTTGCAAGCTTACGCGTTGCACAATCTTTCAGACTCGGTTGAAAGCTTTTCTTCAACTTGTTGAATTGATCATGATATTTTACTCAAAGAAACCCGCAAATCTTTATAATTGAATACTCGCCGCATTTCTTGAACGTTCTTCCGTCCACACCAAGGACAAGCATCGAAAATCTTTATCGTGCAGTTGAAATTTAATGATCGCGTTGTAAAAATATCGCCGCACTGAAGCAGCTTCAGCCGATTTATTCTCGAAATTTGATCTACGGGAATTAATAGAATATAATTGGCATGGCCTGAAAACCGTATTATAAAGAATTACCGTAATTTACTTCATTAACCGAAGAATATAATTAATAGGAACAAGGTCTCAAGTGAAGGTGATTTCGAAAGAAAAATGATGATAGATATAAAATTTAGAGAACATCAAGGACAAGCAAGGGATGATATTTCAGCCTCCAATGAGGTACTTGGTGAACGTGAATTTATATACAGTACAATATTGTGAAAATTTATTCCAATTTCCGATTTTTTCTTGATACATCAACGAATTAAAAATCGTCAATTCACGAACACAGATGAAAAATAATATCTTAATAAATTCATTATGATTCATCAGTTCGGTATTGATTGTTAAAATTGTTCAACGTACCTCAACGTAAGTTTCAGAATTTTATAAAAAAAAGAAATACGCAGGAAACCACCCATTGCGTACAAGTAGGAAATTTACCGCTCGAGGAACTTCACGATTAATTAGTCCCGTCACCAAAGAAAAAGAGAAGTGATGGGTTGTTATAATCAATGGCGTTCGAGAAGCGAAAATTCCTTCATATTTTGGACTTAACAGAAACCAAGGCAGGCAGAAATGCAGTACTGTACTTGTACTTCGTTATAAATTATGTTACAGAAAATCCGGGGGCTCAGAACAAATCGTTTTCATAAGTGCCAACATTTTTCGCCATTAGCTGAATGGATTCAGGAAATCCGTTCCCACGAACAATTTGCCGTCAAATTAACAGAACAAACCTTGAGTTTCTTTTTTTCCCCGCGTTTCGATGATATCTGATTGAAATTTCAAAAGGTACGAACAGCGTGGGAACGCTGTCCGGGTAACGGCATTTTCAAGTTATTGGATTTTGTTTCTTTTTGTTTTGTGAAGGGATCAATAGGGAAGCCTTTGTCAAATGCCACTCAAATCGTCACGACAAAACCGAAAGGGGTTACTTGAGAAAACCCGTATTAACATCGAATTTTGATCAAATATTGATATTCTTAAATCTCTGAAGAGTAAACCGAAACAATACTCGTATGTCCGTTTCTTAGATTGGACTATATTTTAGCACCTATTTCAATATTTTTTATTGACCTTCGAATATTCATCTTTATTACAATTAGCTCACATGTAGAAAGAGACTCAGCTTCACAAATAAAATTTAAAAGTTTTCTTCATGACAGTGCAGTAACAGATTTAATTGCTTGGAAGGTTGACGTCACTTGAAAGAAAATGCCGACGAACTTCGTTTTCGTCTATCTTTATTTCAAGGCGTTCCATTAGACCAGTCAACCCGTTACAGAGAAAAAAAGATTTTCAAGAGAAAGTGAAATTAGTAAATCAAATATACCATCTAAAGCTCAACGACCATAGATCCAGGACCTAAAACAACGTTCTAATTTCCGAGAGATTTTCTCGAATTACAGCGCTGAATTTGGCAACTTCTCACTCGCCGATGAACATTTTTGAAAACTTCACCATATTTCAACTCTAACGCAGTAATTGTCAATATCTGCTCATATTTTCATCTACTGAAATTTATCTGTTTGATTAGGAACACGGTCACGAAGATTTCCCTATGCACACTGGTGCAAGACTTCAACGCGTCCACTTTATTTCTAGTCTCCATAATATTCCTCTAAAAAAATGAAATTGTTGATAAATGTCCGAATATTTGACAATTTCAACGAACTGTAAAAGTGCAGTCATTTGTATATTGAATGTAAAATTCGGAAGTGGGTTTAAAAAAAAATCCAAATCGTGCACACAAATATCCTGTTTTCTCAGGCAACTTCTTTGCTGAAGGATGTCGTGCGTTCAGCCGAAAATTCGCAGCTCGAGCGACCCGTTGCCGACGATGCCAAGGACCTGTTGTACGAGGCTGAAAAACACGGGGGTTACGTGGACATTCCGAGCCTCATCGAAATGTTCAATACTGCAGCATTACTCTACCGACATGGCACCACTGCTAAAGCATTCCTCTACCCATAAACACGATGGGGTTCTCACGAAATCTCCCATTCTTTTCTTCTTCTTTTTTTTTTTT